AATGAATAATATATATTTATTAATAATTTATATTAATTAAAATATAATATAAATAAATAAATAAAACAGAAAATAAAATAAATAATATATATTAATTAAAATTTTCTTTAATTAATAATAAAATAAAAAGTAATAATCACAAAAAAAAACACAAAAAATTATAAAATATAAATGATTAAAGGCTACTTAGGGGTGACATTAGCACATGATAGGGGTGCTATTAGCCACCCCTCATATTTAACGTCGAACAAACTTTTATGTAAATTGCTAAATTGTTTAGATTTTTGCATAAATTAACAAAAGAGTGAGTTATGCTTTCGTTTATATGATTTGGTAAAAAGCTGCGAGTTTTCTTATTGTGGTTTTCAAATTACGGTTACTGTTTTCATGGTTTATAATTTACTGTTATTTTTATTTATGATGTTAAACAAAACGAACACAACAAAAAATTGTAAGCTATAGGAACGAAACATTGATAAAATGTAAATCATAAAGATGAAAACATTAACGAATTATAAAGTATAAGGATGAAAATTGTAAATATCAAAAGTATAGAGACAAAAGTAGCAATTTTTAACAAACATCCGGACGAAAAACGTAATTTACTCTACAAAATTGTATATTTTACTTCGATAGTTTTCTAAAGAGTAAAGTTCAGTTTTGGTCTTTAAGATTTAGTGAAAAATGTTATTGTGGATTTGTGGTTTGTATTTTGCTTTAAAAATGATCTTTAGTCGTTAGGATTGTTTAACAAATACTTATCTGATAAGTATTTACGGGTAAAATTTAACACTATCATTTACTTAGCAGGTAAGATTTTAATCCAACAAAACGGCATCGTATGCAACAATTTACCCTGTAAGTGTTTACCGTGATAAGAGTCATCGTCTTCACTTACCATGTAAGACTCTTGGTCCTTGTCTCGCTCTTACCAGATAAGATTTTTGATCCTTGTCATATTCATCCGGTAAGGTATTGTAACTTGATGTTCACTTATCCAAGTAAACATTTGGTAAATGATGCCTAACTACGATAAAAGATGTTTATTAAGAATGTATTTTTGTCTTTTTATCCACTTTCTTAATTGTATTAATGGAATGTGATCTAATAAATGTAATCGTCATGGTTGAATGTCAGAAATGACCTTCTTGATTATAAATAAAATACGGTTTTAAATTTTAAAATATAATTGATGGAGGGCTGATAAGTTAATAAGTTTGTATTAAAATCATGTTTTGTAAAATAAATGGTTTCTATTATATTATTAGTGTTTTGTTTTAATTATATTATATAATATAAGTAACATGTTATTTTTATAATCTTTTTTACATTTTTCAACCAGTTAAGAAAAAAGTGTTACATTTTTCAAATAAATTATATTATATAATATAACTCACTATATATCGATACTATATTATAAATCATTTAACAAAAACTCTTAAAAACTATTTTTTTAATTCATGAATTACTGTGTATTGATGCATATTACTTAAAATTCAAGATTACAAGTAGATTATGCATAAGTATAACTTATTAAAGCTTCATGTTTGAATTCGTGTAACTAACTGCAGATAAACATAATAAAATAGAAGATAAACATCTCATTTTAAAATATAAAAAATCTAAAATATAATTAAGATAATTATCGAGTTCTAACAAAATTATTATCTTTATAAAAAATTATTGTTAAGTCAAAAATAAATTGTTTCACTATTTGATCTAAATTAAATTATAATAAAAAAAAATGAATTAAATAAATTATATAAAAAATAAGAACTTTTAAATAGTTAATTTGATATTAATGTCGATATATTTTTTTAAATTTATTTTTAGTCAAAGTAAAAACATTATCTTTCTCAAAGCCACATAAACCATATTATATCAACAGACAAAAAATAAAAAAAAATATTAAAAGAAAGATGTATCTCGCTGCATTGCGCGCATACTATTCTAGTAAGTATACAATATATATTATATTATATATATATTATAATATTATAATATATTTTTATAAGATATCAATTTTGTTCATATTAT